CGCACCGGGCACATCCCCGAGTGCTCTATTAGCGTGTGTGAGTGTGTTCCGTACACGATGGCTACACCTGCGGACCCCAACCGTCCTACAGCCACAAATCATTTTGAAGGCCCCTAATCCAGGAGGTTATTAAGTTACTTCCCACAGGTCACCATCTGGCTGGGGGGTTTCCCATGTGGGTGGGGTCTCCTGGCACTTCTCGAATTTCCACAGCTTGGATATCAGACCCTGATGACAGACTTGCAGAGACTCTCCCCGCCTCCCCGTTCATGTCCTCCCCTCCTCCCCTGCACTCCAGCCACGTTTCCACTGCTTTAAAGGGAAGGGGAGGAGGTGGGTATCGGGCAATCAGCATGTATAGGACACCTACTACACGCCAGACCCCGCTACGGGAACTTTCTGCATTTGGTTCACATGAGCGTCGTAATAACCGGTAATAGGAGTGATTGTGCCCATTGTACAGATTAGGAAATCAAGAGTGTGCCATTCATTAAAGTCAAATCAGAGATTTGAATGCAAGGTTGTCTGACCTTATAAAAATCATATATGTCATGCTCTTTCCACTAACATCCTTGCCTTTGATCTCTCCAGTTGCTTCTTGGCAAAATCTCCCCACATTTCTTACAAACTGACCGTCCTGGAGGAGGAATTCTCATTGATCTATGCAGACACTAGTGCTTACTGCCTGCCCGCTGCCCTGGACAGTCTATCAAGTGCACAGGTTTCCCCTCCCACCCTCCGTCCTGAACCCCCATGGCGGCTCTTGCCCCTGCTGTCCATTCTGGCGCTGGGCGCTGGTGCTCAGCCAGCCACTCCAGATTGGTGCCCTGATCAGGCTCGTTGGCTCCTGGACGCTGACTTCTCAACTTGGCTCAGTGCCCAAAGGGCTCTTGCCCTCACCCCAGCTTAGGAAGGCTCCCGGCCCATCCCTGGTCCAACGCCACCGCATCTGCATTTCCAGGAAGGGGTTTGGAGGATGGAGGAGTACAGACCTCACTGGAAACCTCAGAAGCCAAGAGTTTCTGATGCGGCTGCATTAGGGAATCCCCAAGGAGAAGGGCCCCAGGCCTCACACACGCTCGCATTTAATCCTCATGACCATCTTGAGAGAGGCTGTGTGAGCTCCACACGCAGGAGGACACAGAGGCCAGAGAGGAAAAGGGTGTGCCAGGGTGTCAGAGCCCGGGGACTTCTCTGGGGAAAAGGCTCCATTTGGCTATCAGCAGAGACAGGGTCTCGGCTGGGAGAGCAGAGGGACATTGCCTGCACTGAGTCCCTGACTTTCGCCCCTGGCCTTCACCAGCATAAGTACTGATACAGCTACTCTTGATTCCATAACAATGCTGTGCCAACAACGGTCCTAAAGGGGTGTGTGTGTGTGTGTGTGTGTGTGTGTGTGTGTGTGTATGTAGGTAGGTAGGTAGGTATCCATCTACGTACCTAATCTCATATTTTACATAAATCATATATATGTATCTAATCTCATGCATATATGTAAAGGTCATTTCATCACTAAAGAGTGACTATGCACATAGTGAAGACATGGAAACAACCTAAATGTCCATCGACAGAGGAATGGATAAAAAGATGTGGCACATATATACAATGGAACATTACTCAGCCATAAAAACGAATGAAATAATGCCATTTGCAGCAACATGGATGTAACGAGAGAGTATCAAACTAAGTGAAGTAAGTCAGACAGAGAAAGACAAATACCATATGATATCACTTATATGGGGAATCTAAAATATGACACAAATGAACGTATCTATGAAACAGAAACAGAATCATGGACATAGAGAAGAGACTGGTAGTTGCCAAGGGGGAAGGGGTTGGGGGAGGGATAGAGTGGGAAGCTGGGTGAGCAGATGTAAGCTTTTATTCAATATAAAGACTGGATAAACAACAAGGTCCTACTGTATAGCACAGAGAACGATATTCAATATTCTAGGATAAACCATATGGAAAAGAATATTAAATAAAAAGAATGTATATACGTGTATAACTGAATCACTTTGTTGTACAGCAGAAATTAACACAACATTGTAAATCAACTATACTTCAATTTAAAAAAAAGAGTGACGAGTGCCAACAGCTGTTCTAAACGTTTTATATATAGATAAAGTCTCATTTACATATGTACATAATCTCATTTATATATCTTTCCTATATGTGTATAAATCTTATATAAAACCTCACATATATATACACATATGTAAATAACATTAAACCATTAAATAGTAACTAGCTGTCAACTGTTCCAAAAATTACATATAATGATACTTATATATAATCTCATTTGTGTAAATCTTGCATATATAAAATCTTACATATATATGAAAATCTCATTTAATCATTAAAAAGGCTGTATGCCAACTCTTTAAATATTATATATAATCTAATTTTATATATTACTGTCTTTTACATATTTAGGTAAATCTCATATATATAAAATCTCATATATACATCAGTCACGTGTGTGTGTGTGTGTGTGTGTGTGTGTGCACGTGTAAATCTCATTTAATCATTTAAAAACTCCTTAGGAGGCACGCACAGTTGTAATCCCCAAAGGCTGAGCGAGCTCAAACACCCCGTGCATGTGATACCAGGACTCAGCTGAGCTCCTGGCACCTCCACTCAGACCTGCTCCCCCAAGCCCTGGAGCGGTCCCTGCCTCAATTTGGGGGCAATTCCAGCTTTCCAGCTGCTCAGGCCCCAAATCCCAGGATCACCCTTGACTCAGTTCTCTCTTAGTCTGCCTTCAAAATACACTCAGGACTTCACTCCTTCTCATTACCTCAACTGCCCCATCCCTGAGTCAAGCCTTCGTCAAAGGCGGATGGTCAATTACAAGAGTCTCCTCTGGGTTCCCCTTGCCCTCAGCCCCCTTTTGCCCATAGTCACAGAGCGAAATCTTAACGTGCAAGTCAGTCCCAGCCACGCCTTCCCACACCCTCCCACCTCCCTTTCATCTGAAGTCAAAGAAGAATGAGGCTTTAGCGATTTATATGTACCCCCTAAAACTCAGGGGACACAGTAGATTGGCATCTGACTCATGCCTGAGAAATTCAGCGAATAAGAGGCCAACTAGTTGACTAGTTATAGAACACCAGTGAGGCAGTAGCTCCTGTTTGGAAGTTAGCTTGCACGCCCTGATCTTTGTGGACAGAGGTTGCATGAATGCTCCCCTGAGCCACATGGGGTCCAGGAGTGGCAAAGGGCTGGCATGGGGATCATCTTACCCTAAAGGGACAAACAGACCTCAACTGACGAAGCAGGCAGTGGACCACCGGACTCCTAGGGACTGAAAAGGGAGTGGTGGGCTGATGATATAGAGTTTACTTGGCAGTTATAAGAGACTGGCCACCATCAACTGAAGAGGTCACCGAGAAACCCATACGAGTTCCCTGAGAGTCTATGAGGCCCAGAGGAGGAAAGCCCCCATGGGACAACAGCACCATTTGGTCCTTATAAAATCTTTCCAGTTCTCCCTAATCCAACCAGAAAAAGAAATGAGAGTCAGCAAGAATGAGTGAAGTCTTGAATGAAGTTGGAAGCATTGATGCTTAAATAGAACATGGCCATCTTCGACTACTGAATTGATACTGTGTTTGCGACTTTATATTATTTATTGGAAAGGTCCTACAGCCTACCTGTGCTGTCATCTAGGGTGGGGTCAGGACTATTCCGTTAAGTCGACTTAAAGGGACAGTGAGAGACAAAATAAAGTTGCTTCTGGGATTATACTCCATTACTGCTTATTCAATATATTGGTGAGTCATTTAATTGTTGATGTGTCTAACCAGATGGGAGCCTCAGCCCACTTCCTCTCACGATTGGGCAAGGGCTTCTTTCAGTATCATATCACATCAGTGTTAGCCTGTGACAGACAGTTAAAGGAAGAAGGGTTTGCCTTATAGATGCTACACTCTGAAACATCTGAAGGGCCTCGTCCAGTCTCCTAGAAGGACCAGAAGCAGTCAGGAGCAAAGGACTTCCCAGGTTTGACCTTGACCACTTGGGATGGAGTCAGGACCTCAGAGAAAGGGTAAACAGGCACACAAGACGACAATGATGACACCAAGAACAAGAGAAAGGGAAAGGAAAGGGGACCAGCACAGGGAAGATCCTGGGCTCCGGCCGAGGCTGGCGGGCCCACACCGACAGAAAGGGGACCCGAAAGAAGATTAACAATTAACGCCCCACAGTCTTCTAGACTTTGCAGGTGTTCACGATTGTGTAAAGTGTTCTCTCCGGTACTGCGCCGTGAACACTCTGAGAATCACAGCAGGATTACGTGCCTTTCTCACATTCTTGGACCCCAAGCTTCTGTACGACGGGGACTGTCTGAGTCATCTGTGCCTTTCAGCACCTGTGCAGCCCGAGAGAGAGCAGGGGGCTCAATACTGCTGCTGCATGGACGGACAGGTAGATGTGACCTTGTGCAATCCCTTTCCCAGAATTCCCTGCTGCCACGCGCCCCCGAAAGTCTCCTTCTTCCTATTTCCTGCAGCCTCCACGTCGTCTCCGGAGCCAGGCATCCTCAGCAGTGTGTCTTTCCTAAGAGCCACATTGTGATGACCGAGGCAACGAGAAAGGATTCTGCATAATTCCTCAGTGACAAATACGGTCGTTAGCCACGTGCGGCCCACTGGGATTGTACAAAACCAAGCTCTGTGGAGGCTTATCTCGAGTGAGGAGGGGTCCCTATGCAAAGAAACATTCCAGGTATACCAGGGAAGGGGTGCATGAGCCTATCAACCTTCTGAAAAACAGTACCAGTGCCCTCCCCATCAACCACCAGCCTGAATAACTCGAAGCCTCAAGGCCGATGTGGGTGAGGGCATCTCTGCTCCCCAGGAAACCAGACACAACTTAGAAGCCTCAGATGTCACAACCCCCTGGAGGCCCCAGAAACTTCTCTGTTCAGAAACCACAGAACCTGTTTGTGAACCTTATGTGCAGGCTAACAAAGGGAGAACACAAGCAAACGCAGACGGAGTTTCAACCTTTTTATTCAAAGCAGCTTCTCACAATGTATAAATACTGCATATTAGCACACATGAAAAATACAACTTCTAAGGCACCCAGAAATGTGTTCATACACGTTACAGGACCATTCACAAAGAGAGTGTACAATTTGCTCTAGACAGTCAGCATTTGATAAATCAGAAGATTATTATCCCTCCGTACTGCACCCAGTCTCAGGGAATATTTACAGCATGGTGAGAAAGGGGCAGCTGTACCTGCTTTATCAGTCTATGAATTACTCATACTTACAGATATTCAGAACTAGTTAAAGACTCTCCCATGATAACCTGGCGAAAGAAAATGAGTAGCCTAATTTGCAAAGGTCTCCTTGGATTTTGGTGTGTGTGCTATATCCAGGATCAAATCTGAACACTCCCAGGGTAGGCTGGATACTTTTTTGGTAGCCTGCTTCAATTATCAGAGGTTTGGTAATAAGCCTTACCGCTAGAATCCCACTTCTTCAGTATCCATCATTTCTCAACCGATTAATGGATGAATGATTTCATCATGGATGAAGATGGAGCATCACCTAGTGTGAGAAGTGAAGAAGATTCTTCTCGGGCTAAACAGGAAGTGGAATGGGTTGATGGAGAACACAAAGGAGGTGGAAATCTAGCAACTGCAGGATCTCAGTGCTCAGTGTAGACACATCTGAAGAACTCACGCTGGAGGTTTCTATTCAGATGGAGCAGTCCACACTGCTCAGATAACCTGAAGAATGCCAGCCCCCCACTCCTTATGGTACTGGTATGGATAAAGGCTGGGACTACACAGCAGAAACACCAACCTGAGACAGTGCATTTCAATCCGAGAAGCTCATCTGTCAGAGCCTTCTCAAGGTGACGACAAATCCTTCTGTAGGGCCAGCCAGGGGGAGCATGAGGTCGGTGGATGGGAGCAGATTCTCTGTGCCATAAAGCATGTACGTCTCTGCCTAGATGTGCCCACAATCTATGAAACTCGTACTCTGCTGGAATAATGGAATTCTTTGGTCCTTGGTTTTATGAAAGGCAATATTTTCACAATCCTGTCAGCATGGACATCAGCAAATGACTTCAAGCTGGGACGAACGGCACAGGGACACATTAAATACTAGATGGAAAACTCCACACCCTCCAAACTTCCCAGAGTCGCCTTAAGGAGCACCAGCGTGAGGCCAGGTGTTGGGCCAATGAGGCGTGGTCAACCCACAGAGATGCCAGAGCTGAAGCTGAAAACTAGATGTCAGTTTCTCTGATTGATGCACACACTGCAAATATTTGAAGCAAATCTCCATCCTAATGGGAGATAAGTTGACTTTATGAACACTTATTTGAGATGAACCAAATAACTTGACTTTAGCTATTGTATGGCCCTGGCCTCAAGATCATCTTTAAAGCCTTGGTAAGGAGAACCAGTAGGTAAGCAGGGCCAACTGAAAAGAATCATAATTTAAAAAAAAAGAAATTTAAGTTCCAAAGTTTAGTTGGTTTTTATCAGATCCCAGACACAGTGGACACACTGCCAGTGAGCTCCGTGACTTACACGCCATTCAAACAGCCCCGGGTAGACTGGCTCAGCTGATGTGTACGTCGTGCATCTAGTTTGCCTGTGCCCTGCTAAACTCAGGTTCAGTATGGCTTAACGCACCTAGTTCACTGATAAGACACTCAGGACATGTGGGAATGCGGATTATGTAACTGAAAGCGACTTCAGATTGTCTGCACAGTAAGACTCACATGTAAACTTTGTTAACGTCTCTCAAGGAGTGCTGACCACAGCCAGACTGGACATGTCCAGGTCACCTGCAAAGAGCCTGGAGTCAACCACCAAGGTCAGGAGCAGAGAATGCCACTGGTTCAGAACAAATGATGGACCAGTAGCCCTCCCTGTGACCACATCTACACCATGTGACTAGCACGAAGGTGGCTCCAGAACACCTGTCCGTGGCCAAAGACAGTCACCAAGGTGTCTATCTGGGCCCTGCCGCCATCAACTCAACCAAACTCTCCGGATTAGATTAGCCGTGGCGCACAGACTGCACAGTCCATCCACGTGGCTTACGCTACTTGGAAGAAACAACCCGTATTACCTTTTTTTTTTTTGCAACAAGCTTAAGGCTCTGTTCACAAACTCCATCAACTGGCACACAGTGAGAATTTATGGGGAGATCTTCAACTACATATGTAGTTGCAAAGGTTGGAAAATCTACTGATCCTAATGGTAAGGCTTATTCACAAATTCAATACATTTTCAAATTCTACTTCAAACTCACTTACTTTGAGAAAAGGAAAATTAACCGGCTCTCTTACAATTTAAGAACACTAGATTCTAATGGAAAACAAAAAACAAAAAAACCATTGGCACCAAACCAGAATGCTATTTTTTTTGAAAGAACAAGTGATATTAATGGAAAAGATTGCCTAAAACGCATATCCTAACTTACCACAGAAATATAAAAGTTTATATTCTGAAAATATATATTGTATTAAAGTCTGTAAGCATTTCAACCAAAATTTGCAGAAATAACTAAGCAACACTTATCTACAACAAAAATATACATGCAAGACAACCCCCAAATGGTTTCCGTTAAATATCTACAAAGGCAAAGTGTAGATTTTTAAAGATTATACAAAACCATTTACAGAGAATAAAATAAAATACTTAAGAAATCTCATTTAGAGTCTTAAATACTGTGTATATTAGTGAGGATGTCTAAACTAATATATACAACAGATCTAAGTATCTGAATACAGAAACACAGAAGAGAAGCAATTCTGCATTTTAAATATTCACTTAGGAAGATCTGAAGATGTTTCTATCTGTTTCTCTTTGTTAAAAAAATTTCCACAGAAACTAGATTGGAAAATTACATGAATGTGACTAAATTTCAAATTAAAAAAAGTTTACAAAATTTTTTAAACCAACAATTAATAATGGGAAATGCAATTCAGCATCCAATCAAGGCTATCTTTTAAATGTGGATATCTGGAGATACAGTTGCACTGATCGAAGTCTACTGTGATTATCATTTTTCCATCCTCATACTAAACTTCATATGGGAAAAACATATTTTCATGCTTCAGAGAGAACATTTCCTAGTTTACTTTATACCAAACAAGAATAACATTTAAAATCAATTCTCTACTACTTTCTCAGAGTTATCCACTTTCATTCCAAGAGGGTCACTTTTGATGGTTTTCACCCACAGACATTATTTCAAAGCAGGAAGGGACATATGGGTATATCTACCTTAGGCTGAGGCTTCCAAACGGTGAGGAACTCTGATCATCTTAGCAAAGTTCTCCAAAAAGTCCTCCTGGAACAAGCTGTTAACATAAATGTTCCACTGCAAGATGCTGGATGCTAATCGCCAGGGGTTGGAGGAGAGGAGAGTTCTAACGCATGGCTAACAGGATGGCAAGGAGTGGATTGTCCAGAAGGCTGCTTGACTAAAGAAGTATCCTCATCTTCCCACCACAGCTCTCCTTCCAACCCCAAAGGTAATTCTGGGATGGGGCTACCAAGACCAAGCATGATTCCTCCAAGAACCTGCCCAGGCTCTGGGATGTGACCGCCTGGGTGGGGAGGGGGCAAAGCAGAGTAGAGAGAAGGGAGAAAGGATCCTATGGGTGGAGAGAAGGTCCTGGGGTAGAAGACAAAAAGTGGGCCTTGTCTCAAGAGAGCTATGAAGTTAAACCCTGACACAACAACAGGTCTGGCAAATTCCAACCCAGGTCGATCAGCTGGAAGTTTCCTGGATCTCATCTATACATTATCAAAACAACTAACCAGAAAGTGAAAAATTCAGTGGTTTGGTCTACCCTGTAGCAAACAGATGTAACTGAGTTTTGCCCAATTTGTGGAACATCCTTCTAGAACTGACTGTATGGAAACAACCGAAACACAGACTGTCTTGTAAAACACCTCCTGTTATACACGAAACCTACAGGTTAACACCAGGCATTCCATCTTAGTGATGGTTTCACATTCCTACCTCATCATCAGAGATCCTTGAGGTGTTTAGAAGTTTAGATTTGATGATCCAAAGCTATGTTTTAGTTCAAAGCTAAAACACTTCTGGTTTTTTCAGCAGGGAACAAAGATGGGCACTGAGCAAAAGGAATTTCCAAACATCCTCTTCCATTCCAACGAGAATCCTAACACTGCTTCTAGAGACGTTGAACGTGGCTGCCCCTAGAAGGTAAAAAGAAAACGAAGTGCTCTTTCTTTAGATGACTTAGTGATGGTTGAGAAGTTATCTGTCAAGGGTGAGGTCGTCTAGGGCCTTTGGTCTCAAAGGAAAAGACAAACCCAAATTGAGATGTGACAACATGTATTTGGGCAAAAGCAGGTGTTTCCCTGTAGAAACTCCCCATCGTCTAGGTCTGCAGTTCCTACAGAAACCCCCATGGAGCAAGGGGAGGGTAACACATCAGCCCCATCTTCCTCTGGCTGGATTCAGCCAGGGTGGCTGCCCCCCAGCCGAAGCGAGAAGAAAGTGAGACATGTCCTCTTCCCTGAGCCTCGAGAAGTCATGGGGAAACTCAGAAGGAGAGAGGCTTTCAACAGAGGGAACCAAGACCATCTGGAGGACGGAGAATCCAGGTAAACTCAGGTTCACTGTTTAAAGGCCTATGTCTCTAGTTCTGCTATAGACAGTCCACCTGTTCTCCGAAACACAAAGCTCAGGGCCATGAGTCCTCTCCACCTGCCCAGTCTAGTGCATCCAGCTGCCTTCAGGGGAGGGAAGAGGACCAGAAAGGGAGAGAGAACTGTAACAATGACCCTCCCTCCCCTCAGCTGGCCTCCCCTCCCCCAGCTGTGCCTAACTCTCACTGCTCAACCTTCTCTGCGGAAGGGTCAAGAGGGGCTGGTGACTAACAGAGGGTACTAGGAGGAGACGGGTGAGCAGAGGTCCTTGAGGACACCTGGCGGGGGGATTGTGATGGAAATGGAAAAATCCCGCCACTCTGGGAACCTAACTTTCTCTGGCGCTTGACTCTCATACAGAACATGGTCCCGTCACTTCTCTGCTTGAACTCTGATGTCTACGTTCTCCTCTCCAACCAAAACCAACACCCCAAACCAGAACCCCTCCTTCGCCACAGCTGATCCAGGGACTTTGGGCTGATGGTCTGAATACAAATGCTGGAGCCCCGCTGCGGCCCACGCGCCCTGGGACAGGAGGCCTCATCCCTGGTTACTGCTCCATTACTGGACCATTCAGGCGGGAAGCCCCATTTATCTCCTTAAAGGGAGCAGAGTGAAGAGAAAACTCTTCCATGATTTCTCGCAAGAGCAAGTATTCACTTGTCATAGAACTGCTTCACACGCAGGAAATCTGGGGCAGAGCTATTCCTTTTATTCACAGAAATCCCGTTTTCATCTCTCTGAATTTTATTTCTACGCGGTTCACTGCTAGAATGTACCAAATGGCGTGAACCTTGTACGGGATTTGGTCCAGGGCAGTGTGAAAATAATATCTGTGTGAACAACAGATATCATAATATATAAACAAAAATAAATAAGTTAAATAAGTCGGGTGAAAAAAAAAACATTTTCCTAGTAGTTATGTGTTTGCAAAACTAGCTTTACATATAATACACATAAATTATCAGAATTTCCACTTACATTGTTTTAAAAATATATATTTAACAAAATGCTCCTAAATATACAATATCTGGGTTTGTAAATCACTCAACTGGGTTTTAAGACCAAGCCCTAGAAGTCACGCAGATGTGCATCAGAGAGGAGACTGAGGCTGGATCTACACAGTCGTTCTGCTCATGGGTCTAGAGATTCCCTAAGATTGGTCGTCCCCTGTCACTGGATCTGTTCTTAACCAGACAGAGCCATGGCAGCCAAGTTTCCAAATCAGAGGCACTGTGTAGACACAGCCTGAGTCAGAGGATGGGGAAATGGGTCTTCCCCTTCCTGGACCAGGATGGTGCATTTCAGCAAGTGGGGAGAGGACAAGGGCACCTGGCAGAGGACTGGGAAGATACAGCCCTCGATAGCTCTCCAGCCAGTTGGGGTGGGGACACAGGGGAGGCCAAGTATGCTGCGTTTCCCATCGTTACACAAAACCAAACCAATGAGGAGCAACCAAAGGACACGAGGAAATGGACACGACCCTAGGTATAGCGAGACACCTTGACAGACTCCTTGGCCGGGAATACACTGTGCTCTGATTTCTGAAACACAGGACAGAGCTGGAAGTCACCTGCCCTTGAGCACTGGGCCCTCAGACTTCATAAATTTTGTCCTGCAGGTAGCTGAACAGGGAATCCAGGCCTTTGGAGGAACCCCAGAGCTGTTTGAGCATGAGGCATTCTTTCTCGTTCACATCTTCAAGCACCGACTTCAGGAAGCTCCGGACGAGGCATTTCGACTCCTCCAGCACCTGGAGGGAAACACACAAGCCTCATTAGCCTGGCGCCAGGGACTCTGCTCCAGAAGGATGTACTTAACCTCCTCATGTCCAAAGCCACAGGAGGTTGCCTCCTCTGGTCCGGGGCTTCCCAGGCCTCTGCCCTTGGCAACGGCCAGGAATGGACTGCAGGCATGCTGAGACGTTGAGCCCTCAGACCTTGGGATGGCTGAGTGGGACCCGCATTAACCTCAACTGCAGGAGTGACACTGACATATACTCAGAGTCACTTTCTATGGATGTCATGAAAAAGTTTGGGAAATACTGCTTTCACCTCCCCATGCTACCTAACTTAAGAATGGCTGGGATCACAGAGTAAGATAATGAAATGAACTAATGGTTGTCAAAGTATCCATGGGACCCACCCTGACAGCAATGCCCCTTGGTCAGGCTTAGTAGTTAAGAGTAGTGGTAATAAAAGTAGTAATAAAAGTAGCAATCATTGTAATAGTAATAACAATTGCAGTAATTGTAGCAATGAGCAATAATAGTGGGAACAATAGTAACGCTATAGTATTATAGCGATAACAGTAATGTTAGTGGTAGTAATAATGGTAACAACACCATAGTATTATAGCAACAATAACAGTAATGCCAGTGGTCGTAATAATACTACAGTATTATAGTAGTGATAATGGCTGATATTAGTAATATGGTAGCAATCACGGTAATAATAGTAATAATAACCATAATCATGAGTAAGAACAGTGGTAGCAAGTACAGTGATTAGAATAACAATGCCACTACCACCACTGTTAGCCGATCGGCTCTACGATAGGCACTTCTGCATTCTTTTATTTCTTCCTCAAGTTAACTGCGCAACTAGGTAGCCATCTCCGCATTACAGATGAAAGATGTGAGCGCAGGAAGCGAAGGTGCCCCGAGCCGCCTGATGGGTGTGCCCTGCCAACGCCTGGCTGATTCTGCAGGCTCCACGCTGCCTCGGCCTGGCAGAGGCATAGCCGGAAGCCGGGCGTCCGAGCATCCTTCCGCTGGCCTCCACCACCCTCTGTGGACCTGGAGGCTCTGGTCCTCTGTCTCACAAAGCGCTTTCCAACAGAAAAAAGCAAGACAAGAGCTCCCTTGCTCAAGCAGGCTGGAAAGGGGCAGTGATCTCCCTCAGCTTGGGCTGGAGGCGAATGGGTGGTAAGAAAGGGCTGGCAGACCAAGGGTGCCTCTTTCCTTCCAAGAATTGATCTCCTGGGGTCGTGGGGTAGATTCCCATCTCAGGTGAATCACCCCAAAGCTCCTGAATTCATACCTGTGGGTGGGAGAGGTTTCCTTGCAGTATTTCTTCAAAAGCCGGTTTCATCTGAGCACCTCCACTGCCCAGAGACCAAACTCCTCAGTGGAGCCTTGGGGCCTTTCTCCTCCCTGCCTTTTCAGTCTTATCATCCCTCAGCTAGCCCCTGCACCTGCTCACACCACCAGGAGCCGCTGCCTAGACTCCACGCAGGGTTTTGGACTCTTGCGGCCTCACTCACACCGTTTGCTCTGCTGAGAACTTCCACCCACCTCTCTGTGCAGCTGCCCCTATGTCACCAATCATCCCCGTTTGCGCAGGCTCACGGGGTTTCCTGGGACTTGAGATTTTTGGTGCTGAAACCAGGAGAGTCTCAGGCAAAGTGGGACGAGTTGGTCACCAGAATCATCAGGAAGATTAAAAGAGAATTCACATAAAGGGATAAGCAAAGTGCTTGGCCCAACAAGGCTGTACCATCCCTACCCTGCCACTGTCCCTGGGACCAACAGGCTTCCGGGGGGCAGAGCTGACACACAGTAGGTGCCCAGTAAAGGCTGATGAGGCATATCAAGAGGGGAGTGGCAGCCGGGTGCAGGCTCGCGGTAGACAGGGAGAAGGAGAGGTGTGCTCACGGGTCAGCCCCACAATCCAGCCCAGCACCCCTGTGACGCTGAAGCACAGAGAGCGTCCGGGCCTGCTGCTCCCAAAGCACCTTCCTCGTTCCCCACTCGGCCCTTTCTCCACCTTCAACAGGGTATTTCCATACAGCGCTCAGAGAGACTTTGATGAGATAAAATCGACACAATTCAAACCCGGTGTCTCCGCGGAGGTGTTATTTATTTATCTGTTTTTCAAGGCGTCTTCAGAGTCGAACCGGTTACATGTGCCAAGCACTGGACAGGCAGGAGAGATGAGGTACCAGGACAGCGGAAACCACTTTTTCTCATCTCTCAACTGGCTTCACACCCTCTGTCCTTATTCGTCTTTGCTTCTCATTTCTTTGAAAACCATAGATGATTTGTATTTTCGTGCATGTTTAGGACTTTCTTTAAAGGCAACCCTTCTACCCCAGGGTATAAATCTCTTCTGTGAGGTTTTCACACTAGAGCTGATGGGGAATATCTAACAGTGCTGACCACCTCCCTCTGGATTTAAGCTGTCAGCACCGAGATGCGGCATCTGTTAAATCACGTACTCCCTGCGTGACCTCTGGCAAGTCGGTCACTCCCTTCCGGCCTCGTTGCCCTCACCTGTAAAATGGGTCTACTGCAAGGACAGGGCACAGAGACTCGGGAACTCACCACCGCGCTGCAGGAGGCCATCTCCTTGACCCGCAGCATGACCTCCTGGCTGAACGTGGTTGGCCAGAAGACCTGTGACACCAGGCCTCTGCTGCATGCCTCCTGGGCGGTGAGCTTCCGCCCGCAGAAGAGCATCTCGTTGGCCTGAGAAAGCAAAGGCAGGAGAAGGCTGAGAGCTGGCACGCCTCCAAGCCTGCTCACGAGCCCGCCTGCTGTGCGCAACTGTCCCGGCTCCCAGAGGCAGCATCCTTAACTGGGGGCCAAAGATGCTCTGGGGGCTGCTTGCACACGCCTGTGTCTACATGCGTCTTTCTGCACAGAGGGCCCACAGCTTTCACTGAATTCCCCTAAGAAGCCATGTCCCTGCAGGGGCTCCGCCTGCAATACCCACTTCCCCCCGCCGCCCCCGTCTGGTGGCAGGGCTGCAGGAGGAGATGTGTGTGGGCTGGGAACAGTTCACAGCTGATACCCCTTCCTCGGTGACTGATTCGGGGATGAGCAGATGAGCCACCCGAGATATTAAAGCTGTCTGTGAGGTCTCCAAGCTGGAGAGGATGGGGAAGACACTTCCTCCCTCTCTGGTGGCTTAAGTCACAGAGCCCAGGGCCACCCGCTGCTGTGGAGAGGGACGGGCTGCCAAGACAGCAGGGATGGAGAACAAGAGCCCTGCTGGCGCTGGGATTCCTGGGCGTGACACCCCCAAAGGAGGCTCTACTGCTGGACCTGCCAGTTACGGCAACCGTTAAATTCCTTTCTTCCCCTCTTTAAGCCAGTTCAAGTGTTTCCATCACCGGCAGCCAGAAAGGTCCCGAGTAAGACCATAATCCCAACGCAGAGAGGCGCACCCCTCCCAGTGACCCGGGGCTGTGCATAGGCAGTGCCCAGGTACGAAGGGCAGAAACACCTCCTGCGTCCTGCCGTGTCCTCTGCGCCCCACCCCCCAGAGAACTTCCCCTGACTTTGAAGTGTGCAGCTGTTGTACACGGTCTGGGAAAAGCAACGTGGGAAAGGTCCCGGGCACAGACAGAGCCCAGCGCAGTCACCCACTGACACCAACAAATGACTCTCCCGCTGATAATTAGGGCAAGATGGTCACTGTCCCTCCCCCACCGCCTTCACACAGCAGACAACCCAATCCCTTCCCTGACTGCCGTCCACCTGCCTCCCCTGTCCCTCCCTTCCCGGCCCTGCAGGCTTAGCCGCTCTCAGATGGATGTTGAAATGTCAAGCTCTCCCAGCCTCTGGATCTGTGCACGTGCCTCCCCTTTTGTTCTGGTTGTCACTGGAGGGTCATGATGACCCAAGGGACAATCTTTCACGCCCGAGGAGCAAAATTTGTCCGGTCGGTAATAAGCCTGTGGATGCATTCGGCTGGACGTTTGAAGACAAATACGTGTCACTGAACGTATTCAGAAACACCGTCTCAGGAAGGAGGAATGCGAGGAAGGAACCCAGTAGAAGGAGCCCACCAGGACGCAGTCGGGGAGGACACGTCTCAACCAGCAACATTCTTGGAGTTTCAGAAACGATCGAAATGAAAGAAAGCGGTGAGGCTGTACAGGTTAACATTTTTGTGACCACGAAGGAATCGGGCAGAGCACAGGGGCCGAGATCAAAAGGGAAAAGCGCCTGCTTCCGGGGCTCTCTGGCTGCCCCGTCTTCCTACCACTGCTGAGATGGTAAAGCCCCAGAGAGCAGCCCCAGCTCCCGAGTCTGAATGGCCTTGCAATCCACCTGCTGGGCCTGCTGCATAGACACCGGCTGGCGGCAACTCTGGGAAGGCAGAGGAAGCTGAGACGACCCCCAGATTCCACAGGCCAGGGGCACCCCCGGGACTCGACCCACATGAAGGGCTGTATCCTAAACCCAGGACAGAGGAGGGGTGCTGTGGGACCCAAAACCCATGGGTCGCAGGGAAGGACCCGCCGCAGAGAGGAGGCTTACCAGTGCGACACCCAGGATCTGGGGGAAGGTATAGGAGGAACAGCCGGCGGGCGTGAGACGGATGGTGGCGTAGGGGGTCTGAAACCAGGCCTTCTCGCTGGCCCACACGATGTCGCAAAGGGGCAGGATGGAGGCTCCCAGGCCCAGTGCGGGCCCGTTGATCGCCACCACGATGGGCTTCTTAAACTGGATAAAGGCCTTCACAAAGTCCCTGGGGAAGAGAGAAGACCCCCCCTTTAGCCAGTGAGCAGGCCTGCCGAGACCCACGGACACCCTTGATTCTGTCGAGGTGGAAATAAGCTTCCCCAGGTGCTGGGAAGCACCCACAGATCGTGAGGGAAGTGGGTGCTCAGCAGGGTCTCATTCTCCCAGACACCGAGCCGCAGAGCTGCAGGCACAGGCGTGGCACTTAGTGGGTGGTACCAGATTTTCAGAGGGAAACTCATGGGGTGATCACGGTTTGCCCAGAGGGCCCCAGGTCATGCCCGTTGTCCCAGCACTGCACCAGGCTACCCTGTCCTTCCACCCCCTAGATATTGACAAGGTGTAAATATCCTTAAGGAAGATCGCTTGAATGTTAAGGTTCTGAACAGAACCAAAAGGAGGGTGTTACAAGGAAGGGTACGTGAACTCAAGGAGAGAAGGAACATTCTAAGGGCACTGGCGAGGGTGGAATTGGTGGCTTTGAGTGGATGAACCTCTTATTATTCGAGGTGCTCCAAGTTTGGTCTAATGGTCACCCTGGGTGATGCTGCAGAGGGCATTCAAGCGTCAGACGGTAGGCACAGGTGGGGATTGATGACATTTAAGAATGCTTTCAAGTCCTAGGATTGTCTGATTCTGAGTTACCTAAAGACATGCCAGACTCACCCGGGGTGGATTCAGAATGCTGACAAGGGTCTCTATATTTGGGTGGCTTTGACCAAAACTGGGGAAGGACGCTGGGCTCCCCTGGAGGTGTGAGGCATCTGGCACCATGCCTACGAATTAGGTGATATGCTATCTCCCTGCCCTTCTGCATTGAGCAAGGTTACAGGGTGCATCTTTAATATTAAACAGAGACGCCTACAATAAACCTCTACTTCCTTGCCTTAGAACACTTTTCACCTTTCCCTTAGTTGCTGTATTAAGGTCTATAAAATTTTAACATTCATGTGGACACAGAGGAAAGATCCAGGATGTCTAGCAAAGCTTGCGTCCCTCATTATTCTCAGGTGGAAGATCGGAAACTAACAAGAACTCACAAGAATAAAATCCAAACTCCTGACCATGACCTTGGTCTGCCTCTGCTTACCTCTCCAGACTTATCTCCCGTCTCTCTCACCCCTGTTCACTGTGCAGGAGCTGCACCGGCCTTCTGAGAGTTCTTGGAAAACACCACTATCACAATTTGCAATTATCCTAATTATTTGCTTGCTTACTTGAATTCTCCTCCCCCTTTAGTTCCTGAAGGAAACTCACAGGTCTGCCTTGGGCACTGCTTGGTCTCCATGCATACTGGAATTAGCACTCAGTAAACAATCTCCCAGAATGAGAGCAAAGACTGCAGATGTGTAGCGGTGATGCACGAGCTATTCACCAGACCTGGTTTCCCTTCCCTCTTCTTCCTGAGGCTGCAACTGGAACACGGTCCCCAGGCTCCCTTGCAGTTGGCTGTGGCCCAGTAAACAAGTGCTGGCCGATGGGATGTGAGTGGAAACCAAGTACACACTTCCGGGCCTGATGCAAGGAAACCTCCCACCACACAGCCCCCCAAGCCCTCTCATCTTGACAAGCTTGGCAGTCTTGGAAGACCTTTGTTGAGCCGCAAGATGGAAGGAGTTTGAGTTCCTGAGTCACCACTTGGAGGACAGTCATGGGCTGATCAGCAACTTCTGTTCTAGGTTCACATATATGTGAAGTAAATTTCTATCACAGCTGAGCTGTTACATACATTTGGGGTTCATTTGTTACAGCAGCTAATACTTAACTAATACAAATGTCGAGCTGATTTATCCCTTCTCAGTTGATACTATTCCCCCCGAATTCTTATCGAAAGATGTGGGTATCACGGTGATATGCTGGGATCAGATTGAACTGTGAGAAGACTGCTTAATACTCCACTGGGGTAGGGGGTATCTTAGGACCTACACGTTGTCATGAAAGTACACGTCCAGGCTTGAGACGTCAGATTTCCTGACATCCGTGTGATTCTGTGAGTAGATTCTCTGTGAGGTATCTCAGTCACTGCTGCCCCACTGTGGCTGATCCCGGAAGGATACTGCTACCCAGAGGGAGACCTGGCACCACGGCCTTCTGAGTCCTGGTTTTCCAGTGGCCCATTTCCTGGCTTGACTTTCTAACTTCATGGCTTCAGTCACTGGTTTTAACAAGTGCTTTTTACCAAATGCAATTTGGAGTCTGCAGGAGATGTGGGGCTTCCTTGTAGGGTCCTTGGAACCACAGGGTTTGGGTATTTTTAACAGATGTTCTACTCCTAAATCCCCTCATATGATTCCAGGATCTTGGATCTCAGAGTTGGGAAGGACTTTAAGAGGCATGGAGCCATATGACAAACCCACAGCCAACATCGTCCTCAATGGTGAAAAACTGAAAGCATTTCCACTAAGATCAGGAACAAGACAAGGTTGCCCACTCTCACCACTCTTATTCAACATAGTTTTGGAAGTGTTAGCCACAGCAATCAGAGAAGAAAAGGAAATAAAAGGAATCCAAATCGGAAAAGAAGTAAAGCTGTCACTGTTTGCAGATGACATGATACTATACATAGAGAATCCTAAAGATGCTACCAGAAAACTACTAGAGCTAATCAATGAATTTGGTAAAGTAGCAGAATACAAAATTAATGCACAGAAATCTCTGGCATTCCTATACACTAATAATGAAAAATCTGAAAGTGAAATCAAGAAACACTCCCATTTACCACTGCAACAAAAAGAATAAAATATCTAGGAATAAAACTACCTAAGGAGACAAAAGATCTGTATGCAGAAAATTATACGACACTGATGAAAGAAATTAAAGATGATACAAATAGATGGAGAGATATACCATGTTCTTGGATTGGAAGAATCAACATTGTGAAAATGACTCTACTACCCAAAGCAATCTACACATTCAATGCAATCCCTATCAAACTACCACTGGCATTTTTCACAGAAATACAACAAAAACTTTCACAATGTGTATGAAAAGACCCTGAACAGCCAAAGAAATCTTGAGAACAAAAAATGGAGCTGGAGGAATCAGGCTCCCTGGCTTCAGACTATACTACAAAGCTACAGGAATCAAGACAGGATGGTACTGACACAAAAACAGAAATATAGATCAATGCAACAGGATAGAAAGCCCAGAGATAAACCCAAGCACATATGGTCACCTTATCTTTGATAAAGGAGGCAGGAATGTACAGTGGAGAAAGGACAGCCTCTTCAATAAGTGGTGCTGGGAAAACTGGACAGGTACATGTAAAAGTATGAGATTAGAACACTCCCTAACACCATACACAAAAATAAGCTCAAAATGGATTAAAGACCTAAATGTAAGGCCAGAAACTATCAAACTCTTAGAGGAAAACATAGGCAGAACGCTCTATGACATAAATCACAGCAAGATCCTTTTTGACCCACTTCCTAGAGAAATGGAAAAACAAAAATAAACAAATGGGACCTAATGAAACTTCAAAGCTTTTGCACAGCAAAGGAAACCATAAACAAGACAACAAACAAAAGACAACCCTCAGAATGGGAGAAAATATTTGCAAATGAAGCAACTGACAAAGGATTAATCTCCAAAATTTACAAGCAGCTCATGCAGCTCAATAACAAAAAAACAAACAACCCAATCCAAAAATGGGCAGAAGACCTAAATAGACATTTCTCCAAAGAAGATATACAGACTGCTAACAAACACATGAAAGAATGCTCAACATCATTAATCATTAGAGAAATGCAAATCAAAACTACAATGAGATATCATCTCACACAGGTCTGAAGAGCCATCATCAAAAAGTCTAGAAACAATAAATGCTGGAGAGGGTGTGGAGAAAAGGGAACACTCTTTCACTGCTGGTGGGAATGTGAATTGGTACAGCCACTATAGAGAACAGTATGGAGGTTCCTTAAAAAACTACAAATAGAACTACCATATGACCCAGCAATCCCACTACTGGGCATATACCCTGAGAAAACCATAATTCAAAAAGAGTCATATACCAAAATGTTCACTGCAGCTCTATTTACAATAGCCAGGAGATGGAAACAACCTAAGTGTCCATCAACGGATGAATGGATACAGAAGATGTAGCACATATATACAATGGAATATTACTCAGCCATAAAAAGAAACGAAACTGAGTTATTTGTAGTGAGGTGGATGGACCTAGAGTCTGTCATACAGAGTGAAGTAAGTCAGAAAGAGAGAGACAAATACTGTATGCTAACACATATATATGGAATCTAAGAAAAAAAAATGTCATGAAGAACCTAGGGGTAAGACAGGAATAAAGACACAGACCTACTAGAGAATGGACTTGAGGACACGGGGAGGGGGAAGGGTAAGCTGTGACAAAGTGAGAGAGAGGCATGGACATATATACACTACCAAACGTAAAATAGATAGCTAGTGGGAAGCAGCCGCATAGCACAGGGATATCGGCTCGGTGCTTTGTGACCGCCTGGAGGGGTGGGATAGGGAGGGTGGGAGGGAGATGAAAGAGGGAGGAGATATGGGAACATATGTATATGTATAACTGATTCACTTTGTTATAAAGCAGAAACTAACACACCATTGTAAAGCAATTATACTCCAATAAAGATGTTAAAAAAAAAAAAGAGGTATGGAGTCCAATCTTCCACTTGTGCAGAATCCCCTCCACAGCCTCCCGAGGACGCATCATGGCCTCTGCTGAACATTCTCAATGCAGAGGGTCCATCCCTATAAAGGCGCCTCCCTGCCGAGGCCCTTATGTGGGCCCCTCCGATGCTCCTATTTGCTCTGCTTCACCATCCACACGACAGTTCTTCCAGAATTCACCCGGGCCCTCATGACTTTCCAGAAGCTTCCCGTTCCAGACCCAGAGACTTTCATGCTATTGTTTCCAACCTGAGCTCTGTGCAGAGGCACCAAGGACGCCCGAGGAGGGCTAAGGGGCCCAGGTGTGCTCAGCTCCGACCCTCCACCCCCAAGCTCCCCTGTTTCAGTCCAGCAGCCTCATGAATTCATTTCCTTGATATAAAAATGTGATGCACAGACCGCTCTCCCCATCCTTTTCCTCTCACCTCAAGCGGTAGATCTCTATCGCGAGGGCCCGCCGGATGTGGGAGCCAGACAACACACAGGATATTGCATTACAGACACTGCCGCTCAGATAGCTGATGCTGGTCTGCGTGGCGGGGCTGCGCTGGGGAGGTGGCTGGCCGTCATCCCCCCGCGTCAGAGTCCCTCAGGCTGACACCAGCCCTCGCTTCTCCCTCCCAGGCTGATGTGGCAGAAGGAGCAGGAACTTTGGGGTCTGAAAGACTTGGGGTCAAGTCTCAACACTGCCCCTCACTAGTGGGAAGACCTTGGACAAGTTACCCAGTCTCTGGAGCCTCATTTTGCTTCCTGGAAAATGGGAAAGCCAGTGGGGGTGTCCACAAGAATTAAATGTGATGGTCCACCAGAGGCACCAGCACACTGCCTGGCACACAGGCCACTGTTATCACGGTCGGTGCATCGGCTACGGAGGGTGGACACAGCTTTCACTCCATTCTCAGTGGTCTGTAATCTGCTCACCTGGCCTGAAGGAGACTCAGCAAAATTCTGCACACGGGGATGTCTGGATTTCACCTGGAGCACTTGGCAACTGTGACCCCGTTATCCAGTCCCTTTAACCAGAGCCGTACAGTGCAGCCCTCCCACTGCCAAAGTTCAGAGCCAAGGCAGCCGGGACGGGGCCTGTGAGCACCAGGTACACACGGTGACAACCATCCTGGACCGCCCCCGGAAGCCCACTCCATAGTCAGACCCAGGCTTAGCTAGAACTTGCGGCTGTAAGTAACACGGGTAACAATGAAAATAATTCTTTACATTTATTCTAAGTACTCATTCTGGGCCAGGCACGGGTCAAGTATTGCACACAAGTTATCTGATTCCTCTTTGTCCCAGCAGCCCGCCAGCAGGCCACCACATCCCCTGTGAGGAGTTCAGGTGAGGGCAGCCTCTCATCCAGGATTGGGCGGACAGCTTTGCTTGGATCCTGGATAGAGGCGTCTTCGGAATGAGTCATCTGAGCTCTTCCCACATCTGCCAGTCCATTCAGCGAACATCTGCAGAGGGAACGCAGCTTCCCGGGCCATGTGCACGCATGTTTTCTTTACGAAACTTTGAGGATGGGAAGGGAGCACCGCTGGGGGTATTATGGCTGCGTGGCCCAGCCGACAGCGTGTGTGTGCCGGGAGAATTGCAAGGGATGCCCGCAGGTGATAAGGTCCTGTGGCCAAAATATGTCTCAGCCATGCCAGATTGTGAACGAAGTTCTTTCACAAGAGACTGCTCAGACAGTAAATACGTTAACGTGCCTGGAAAATCCGCAGGACTGGGGACAGAACTCATTTATTGACAGAGCCCCTCGCTCACGATGCTGCTCTGGAAAGCTACAGAACAGTCTTTGGGGAAGGCTTCTCTGCACTGTGTTCCTGAAACTTCTGGTGCGCTCAGTCAAGGTGCAGAAGCCTCTTGGTTGGTACGGGGTGGGGGTTCTCAACCCTGTCTTCATATTAGAAACACTGAGGGGACTTTAAAACCCCCACATCACACACATTAACTCAGAAGCTCCTGGAGGGACAGCCGAGCAGCTGGGTTTTGGAAAAGCTCACTGAGCTGAGAACTGGTGGCCCAGGGGACACCCCCACTCCATCTCCCTGGGTCCCTGCCAGCCCACGAACTAGGAAACTCCGCTTCCTCTGCCGCCTTTCTCTTTGCTCTGCCTAAGAGAAACTCTCCTTCCTGAGGAGATGGCAACTGTCTGAGCTCCACTGACTGCGTTTCTCCAGAGATGAGGTCATGCGTTCAGCATCTCCTCCAGTTTGGGACTGCAGCTAATGCCACCAGTGAAACTCGTAAACCAGGTGAAGACTACAGCCACGACTTTGCTCAGGCCACAGAGGTAGGCGCCCCATCTCTGACAGTCCCATAAATGAGGAGGGACGCTTATGGGGGACCCTGCTGGTCCCCTCACTATGTGACAAGGTGCCTGTGAAAGGACACAGCCGAGTGGAGCAAAGAACAAACCACCGTGTACACGGCTGGGCTATCTGCACGTGGGCAGCCCGAGAGCAGCCTGAAACCACGCCGCCTTTTCTCATAACTGCCTTCAGGTAGCCCACGTCTCTTCCAGCAAGAATTCTGCCACGGGAAGTGCACAGGGGTTTTAGAGCAGAGATTCTAGGGGATGCTTCCCCCTAAAGAGGGACTCGGAACCCCACGTGTGCAGGCGTCCCTGGAGGCTCTGCATCCCCTGGAAGCCTCCCTTGCCTGTGGGAATCAGCTTCCGGGAGACGCTGCCAGAGCCCAGTGAGACTGGAGGCCACAGAAAATCCCTAACATGCGGCCGGAGGCTCCACGACTCCACGCAGAGTAACTGCTCCTTTTCAAGGGACCAGGAGGCATCACTGAACCGTGGCTTGTCTGAGGACCACATGAGATGCAGCAGTGGGCGTATGTGCCCTTCCCAGGATGGAGGACCCGTGACACCCTTGCTGGAAATCACGATCACTTGCTTTTGACAAATGCATAAAGAATGGGGAAATAACTACCCTTCAGTGTCCCAGAGGAGATACTGATCTTTGGGATTGGATGTCACCCCGAGGATACCACTTTTTGCCCCAAAGGCAATAAGACAGTGGGGGAAACATTCCCCACCCCATTGGATCTGCATATACACAGCTCCCCACATCCATCCTTCTCTCCAGGGCTGAGCCATGTCAGCTCCTGGAGGCAGGGACCCCCAGAAAAACAAAGATTTCACCATCAGGCAGAGGGTGGGAGTAGTGTGTATAATACTTGGGCATTACCAGACACTGGGCTTAATATGAAGAAATAAAATCTCTTTTTGATCCAAAGAATAAAGTGGGATATAACCTAGAGTGTAGAAGCATCCCTAATTTTGGCAGGAAGACACTGGATGCCCAGTTAAAATCTGAATTTCAGATAAACATCAAATCATGTTTTTAGTATATGTATGTATATCCCACGTACTGCATGGGCTGGGATATACCCATGCTTTAGAAAATGTTTCATTGTTTGAAATTCCAATTTAACTGAGCAGTCTGTATTTTTTTTATTATTAATTTTTTTGGCTGCACCGCGCAGCACGTGGGATCTTAGTTCCCCAACTAGGGATGGAACCCGTGCCCCCAGCCATGGAAGCATGGAGTCTTAACCACTGGACCGCCAGGGAAGTCCCCGAGCAGCCTGTATTTTTCAGTGGTAAACGTGGCAGCCCGAGGCAGGTCCCCAAGTGTTTGAACATCAGCAGGGCTCACCTGATGGCCTCTGCAATCCGGGTGCTCTCCTTCCTCCGGTCACTGGACAACCGGCCAATTAGGTAGGAGTAATCCAGGCCACTGCAGAACACGCTGCCCACGGCGCTAAGCAGCAGCAGTTTGCTGTCGTCCGTGGCCGCGTTGCAGAGCGCGCGCCGCACCTCCTTCATGATCTGTGGGCAGAGACGAATTTGCGGGGGTGAGTGTCCATTTGTAAGGCAGGGGCCTTCAGACCTGTGCCGACCCCTGGGCGCAGAGGCCAGTCTACTCGGCCTGTGCAGGGAGCCTCCCCTGAACACACGCCACGTCCAGACCAAGCAATGAAACGCCAAACCAGACACGCCGCACCATCCCGGAGGCAGCACAGAGCGCTAAGGAGGTGCCAGTGGGGTCACTGGCGGCAGACTCGGAAGCCTGGCGTGCAGCCATCTGAGCCCTGGTAAATCTCTGCAGACCTTCCTCCAGCGTTCGCTTGTTTAGCCCTTTCCGAGGGGCGGGAAAATACTCCTGTGCACAGCCCAGGGGAGGTATGTTAGCCAGCACTAGAAGGCCCCGTTTAATTACACTCTTCCTTACCCTAAACTCCACTAAGATGCTCACGTGGCTCATAGGTGGCACACAGGAAGTGGGCTTTGGCAACAGACCCATAACGTTTTCCAGGTGCTGAGGAAAATAACCATTAAACACGTATTCTGTATCCAGCTAAACCATCATTCAAAGGCAAGGGTAAAGAGTAGGCATTTTCAGTTAAAAGAATGTCTGCCACCCTTAGGCCCTCACTGAAAGAACTAAGAAAGGATGCACTTCAAGAAGAAGAAAACCATGTTCAGAAAGAAAAACTGACATGTAAGGAACAGCAACCGGCACAGAAAGTGGAGAATGTGTTAGGAAATCAATATAAGAATTAACTGTAGGGCTTCCCTGGTGGTGCAGTGGTTGAGAGTCCCCTGCGGGTTCGTGCCCCGGTCCGGGAGGATCCCATGTGCCGCGGAGCGGCTGGGCCCGTGAGCCATGGCCGCTGAGCCTGCGCGTCCGGAGCCTGTGCTCCGCAACGGGAGAGGCCACCACAGTGAGAGAGGCCCGTGTACCGCAAACAAAACAAAACAAAAAAAGAAAAAAAAGAATTGACTGTAAAAATCATCATACTGATAGTGGCTAATTGGAAGCTGGGGTTTTGCACAAGGTAGAACTATAGCCTTAGGCAATAATATTGGGTTAGATGACGAGAGTTAGGGCGTGCCGAGGTTATGTGTCTGGGAGTGGTGCAAAGGGTCATGATCACGTTTAGGCTCCGCTACGTGTACATAGCTTAAGGAAAACTTCTTAAAAGTACGTGAATGACAACTAATGGCTGCAGGGGAGGGGCAAAATAAAGCAGCTTCATCACTCAGTCCAACAGAAGTTAGGGAAGCAGGAAAAATAAGTGCAAAAAGTGCACGGTAAGAAAAAACAAGGCATTTACTTGCCTGAGTGGAGCTGACAGTCCAACAGGAGAGACAGTAAAGGAACAGGCTTTTAAAGGATTGTTATTAATTATTCAAAAGGCAGAATCACAGGGTATAGTGGGGAAATTTTATGAGAGCATTGTTTTTTAAATTGTACTTTAAATGGCACACACCCCCCGCCGCCCCGCTTAATTAAGCACTTAAGAGGGGTCAGGGATTGCATCTGTTAACTTCCACGTAACATTTTACTCCAAACAAAATTCCTGTAAGGTAGGGAATGGTATCCCAATCTTGCAGATGAAGCAAGGAAGACTCAGAGAAGCGAAGGAAGTGGTTCAAGGTCACCAGTAAGAGGCAGAACCAGGATGCAAATCTCACCCCTACGTCCCTTCTCTGTCCATGACTGCACACTGCAGGATGACTTAAATAAATGGATGAATCTTTGTGGAAAAAACACCAGGCCTAGACGTCAATCTGAATCACGACTCTCGGGGTCTGAGCTCTGTGAGAAGGACGGGAGAAGTACTTTCCGCTCTTAACAGGGGATAAGCCACAGATACTCACTTTGAACAACAGAAAAGCTAACAGGCCACTATCATGTGGGTCCTTTAATCCATCTGACTCCAGAAATAGACACACTCTCACCTAGATATGAACTCTATTTCTCCGAGAGGCAAAGAAAACCCTGCTCTGAAGACATGAGCTGCACTTCTGCGTGTGACTCTCCATGCCAGGGCACACGTACTTGTCAATTAGTAAAAACAAAATCAAACACGGCGGCTGCCTCCTTTACGAATTAAGTGGAAAGTGGCTTTGTGTTTTCTTCATACAACAAAAGTACATACTACATTTTTAATTTTAAAAAACGTATATATCTAGTTAGTATGCCCTTCCTTTGCCTTTCTCGTGTTGATAACCCAATTTGGACTGATGGCTAAGATGCCACCTTCTCGAAGGACCACGCCCCATCCCACCACCTATTTTATAATGTAACTGGTGTGTTTAGAGTAAAAGGTTCTAAAATTATTACACACTCCTTTGCCTTCTTAAACAGAACACATGGCACACGTGTAACTACCTCTCCAGGGCAAGTGCTACAGCCTGTAAAGGAGCAGTCCCCTCAGAGGCTCCCAGGGCATGCTTCTGTTACAAAAGGGGCCAGACCGTGGTGCATCTGGAAGTCCCAGGTCCGTTCTGGAGATTCACTGCCCCTGCTCTGCTCTTGCCAGCCACTACCTGCTCCTGCGTGAGTGTCTGCTAGAGAAAGCATGCTCCTCCCTGCCACTTCTACCTTTCGATCTGCCACGGGTTGGAAGCAGATGACCAAATCCATTAAAAGCGGGTGTAGGGATTCTCTGGTGGCACAGTGGTTGAGAGTCCGCCTGCCGATGCAGGGGATGAGGGTTCGTGCCCCGGTCCAGGAAGATCCCACATGCCGCGGAGCGGCTGGGCCCGTGAGCCATGGCCGCTGCGCCTGCGCGTCCAGAGCCTGTGCTCCGCAACGGGAGAGGCCACAACAGTGACAGGCCCGCGTACCGCAAAAAAAAAAAAAAAAAAGGGTATAAAAAGGGAGCAGACCAGGGTCCCTCTCTCTCCTTCATCTTTACTTGCTGAACCCAGTCACCCAGGGCCCGTCTCAACTGCGACCACCCTCACGAAGGCCTTCCCAAATACCGCAGACAAAATGCCACCCCCTCCTTCCCCTGACACCCCAAGTACTTTAAATCCCTGCTCTGACGCTTCTACAAACTCCCTGGTAGAACGGGTGTCTCCTTACTTTTTCCTGCCTCCTTCCTGATTTAAACCCCTGTGACAGGCAGCCTCTAAGGCAGCTGGTATTCACACCTGTGTGCAATCCCCTCCCCTCGAGTACAGACAGGACCTAGTGACCCACTTCTAACCGAGAGAATATGGTAAAGTGATGGATGCCCCTGTCAAGAGGAGACTAAGATACAAAATGACGATAGCCTGTCTTGGCTGTCCTCTTTTTTTTTTTTCCTGGCTGCACTGCGAGGCTTGCGGGATCTGAGTTCCCCAACCAAGGATTGAACCCGAGCCCCAGCAGTGAAAGCGCCAAGTCCTAACCACTGGACCACCTGGGAATTCCCTCGGCCGTCCTCTTTTGCCAAACCTCTTTCTTGAAGCTCTCGGTCCAGGGGATGCAGGCTGCCATGCTGTGAGTACCCCTGTGGAGAGGCTATGCCATAGTCCATGGGGAGTAGCCAATGACAAGGAACTGATGTCTCTGGCCTGGGACCTGCCAGCAGCCAGCTGGAGGAGCCTGAAAGTGGCGCCTCCTGCATCGAGCCTTCAGGTGAGACTGCAGCCGCAGCCAACACCTCAACTGCAGCCTTGTGGGAGACTCTGAGGCAGAAGTACCCAGCTAAGCCAAGCCAGCACACTTGACCCTCACAGACTGTATTTGTTGTTTTAAGATGCTAAGTTTAGGGCAATGTGTTATGTGGTAATATAACTAATACCATCCCTTAAGAGTTTAAATAAGGGCTTCCCTGGTGGCTCAGTGGTTAAGAATCTGCCTGCCAACCGAGGTGACACGGGTTCGATCCTTGGTCCGGGAAGATCCCACGTGCCACGGAGTAACTAAGCCCATGCGCCACAACTACTGAGCCTGTGCTCTAGAGCCTGCGAGCTACAACTACTGAGCCCACATGCCACAACTACTGAGCCCAGGTGCCACAACTACTGAACCTGCATGCCGCAACTATGGAGCCCACATGCTGCAACTACTGAAGCCCGTGCACCTAGAGCCCATGCTCCACAACAAGAGAAACCACTGTGATGAGAAGCCCACAAACAACAAAGAGTAGACCCCGCTCACCACAGCTAGAGAAAGCACACGCACAGCAACAAAGACCCAACACAGCCAAAAAAAAAAAAAAAAGAGCTTCAATAAAATAGTATTCTACTCATCTGTTTAGCCCTATAACACCAGGAAACTGTGCATGTAACAGAATTTAATAAATGTTTGTTGGACTGAGTGAATGGTAGTGTTTACCTCCTCAAGAAGTTTAGAGTCTAATGGAGGCAATCAGACATTTCACAAATTACCACACAGCTACACATACACTGATAACTGGGATATGTTCCAGGAGGGAGAGTGCAGAGGCCATGAGAGACAGACATAACCTGGTCCAGGAGGGGAGGGAAGACTTCCCTGTGGAAGCGGTGGCTGAGCTGAGATCCTTAGGAACAGCAAGGTTCAGCTAAGCCAGGAGGGAAGGAAGGCTGCTTTAGTCAGAAAGACAGGCATGTACAAAGGTCCTGGGGCAGGTGTGAGCATGAAAGAAAGCCAGGGTGACTGGAGTGCAGCAAGAGAAGAGTGGAAGTCCCAAATCCTTTCTTGAGATTCACTGCCCCTGCTCTGCGCTTGCTAGCCATGCGATGTGAGATGAGGCTGGAGGGTCAGAAGCACCAGCCTCGCCAGCAACATTAGTTAAGGGTTTTGATTCTTATCAAGAACCATCAGGAGCCATTGATGTCTTTGAAGTGCATGTGTGTGTGTGTGGGGGTGACTTGATTGTATTTGCATTTCCAACAGATCACTCTGTCTTCTGAAGAACGGATGACAGGGCAGGAACCATGACAGTGGGCAGACTTGTTAGTAGGTTATTACAATAGTGCAGACAAAATAGCTAGTAGTGTGGACTCTCATGTTTCTGATGGAAACAGAAGGAAACATATGAGAGCTATTTAAGAATGAACTGGCTTGCAGATGGTGTGGATATAGCAGGTATGATCAAGAGGGTGTGAGGTGTGCCCCCGTGGAGGGTGGTGATCTGTCTGCCGAGGCTGGGAGCCACCAAGAAAACCAGGAGCAGAGTGAGGGCCTGAGGTCCTCTCCTAATGGGAAAGTGAACGAGCTTTTAATCACCAAGACTCTGGACAATCTATTTTTCTGGTTCTTTCCTTCGGGGGCATTTTCATTATTTTCCTGGCACTTTGCTATATTTCAGACAGGAGAAATATTACAACACACCTGCTGGCCTCAGAATCTAGTTAATACACCCAGTAATGTGTGAATTTCTGCCCATGAGGCCGATCCAGCCAATGTCACATATACAACTAGAAAAAGAATTCAGTTATGACTGTGAAGGAGGCCTCCTTCCAGTCCCTCCATGAACGAGCAGGGCTGGGCCTGCTGGTGGCTGTTAAGTCACCTCCGTTTCATCTTAACAATGATAGGAACATTCACTGAATACCTCCTAGGTGCCAGGGACTCTGAGAGCCTCTTTTGCAGATATTATCTCTAATCCCACAGGGAAGATACTGTATAATTTCTGTAAACGAGAATGCTCAGAGAAGGAAAGTAATCCCAAGGTAACAGAAGAGGTAAATTAGTGGAAGGAGGGTTCAGACCCGGTCTGCTAGGCTCCTGCGCTAACTCTGTACCCCCTCCCTAACACCACCTCCTCATTTCAACAGGACCTTCATTTCGGGGCTACTTTACCCAGTTAGCCAATTTATACATAGAGTCAATCCACTCTGGTTGCTGAGAGAGCTGAAAACACCCGATCAATGATTGTTTCTCCGTCTTCCTCCTGTTCTGTTACTGACAGACACCAGTTAGGAGTAAACCCCCTAATTAATCAAGCCTGCGGCTCGGGAGCTGAGAACCCGGCCACCTTAAATCACTTGAATGCCACACGTTTCTGTGATGAGAAGGCAACAGTTAGTACACAGAGCTGCTCCAAAGACACAGAATGAGCTGGGAGACTTCTCATTTATTCGGTCTATCAGAGGAAAATACTGCGCCTTTTTCAAGCACGCTTTTTATTTTTTTAAAATACATTTATTTATTTTTGGCTGCGTTGTGTCTTCGTTGCTGTGCGTGGGCTTTCTCTAGTTGCAGCGAGCAGGGGCTACTCTTTGTTGTGGTGCACGGGCTTCTCATTGCAGTGGCATCTCTTGTTGCGGAGCACGGGCTCTAGGCACGCAGGCTTCAGTAGTTGTGGCGCGTGGGCTCAGCAGTTGCGGCTCGCAGGCTCTAGAGCACAGGCTCAGTAGTTGTGGCACACGGGCTTAGCTGCTCCGCAGCATGTGGGGTCTTCCTGGACCAGGGCTCGAACCCGTGTCCCCTGCATTGGCAGGCAGATTCTTAACCACTGTGCCACCATGGAAGTCCCAAGCATCCTTTTTAAAAGTCGTGAAGCAGAAAAAAAATCTAAGCAGAATCGGTCTCGTGTGAATGTTTCATGATGAGCTTAACATAACAAGGCTTCCAGGTGTATAAACATGTGAAGGGCGGCCTTTGGGGTAAAGCACAGACCCCAGGCTCTGAGTCCTACACAGAGGTCTACACAGCAGAGAACCCTGAAGTGGTTCTGCTGAAGGTGGAGGGGGGAGAGACCCCCAAAACACCATGCTTAGAAGAGGGGCAACGAGCAACCAGCAGCCCCCGCTAACTCCACAGGCTTGAGCCGCTCTCTTCCCTCACAGGTTGACAAGCATTCCTGACTGTCACCCCACAATCCCGAAAAAGAGCCACAGTCTATGTAAATCATAATGACAAGACACGTGATTGCAAGTTCAAGGACACAGCACCTCCCACTCCACCCACTTCAGGGGCCACCCTGAGTGCACTGGACGTACTGGGCAGTGCCAGGCCACCTAGCCATCTCCATCTGGCTGGGCGGCCACTCCTTGACTGTGTCCCACCTAAAAGAAAACACACCCCTGTGGTTCACCCTCCAGGTCTGCATTGCTATGGTGGACACTGGAGTGCAGGATATCAAGGGACAGGAAAAGGGGGTTTGCACTGAACTGTCTTCAATGGGCCAGGCGCTGGGCTGAGGGCCAGGACAAAAGGACGGGTGAAAGTGGTGAGGGCCCTGCCCTCCTGAAGCTCTGTGACCCCAGGCCTCTTCAGTTCCCTAGGCCTACCCTGTCTCCTCTGTAAGAGGTGGATCATAATAATCCTACATCAGAAGGGGACTGGTGGGATGAAATGGGACAAATAGCAAATATAAAGCCTGAAGAGCCACTGCTAGCCACACCATGGTCGTTTTTGTCACTGATCACTCTACGCCCTGCCCAGGTGGTTCCAGTTGGAGAAGACTGCTTAGATGCATGTTTTCCTACATTTGCACCGTTAACAATCTCCTCATTGCCCCCTACTAAGTATCCCATATTCTGAATGGTGTTGTCTACCTAACTGCATTAAGCATTCCCTGTTTCCCTGTTCTATTCATCTAAGACATAAGTAGGATTAGCATTTTAAAAAGTAATAGAGGGCGCTTCCCTGGTGGCGCAGTGGTTGAGAGTCTGCCTGCCGATGCAGGGGACGCGGGTTCGTGCCCCGGTCCGGGAAGATCCCACATGCCGCGGAGCGGCTGGGCCCGTGAGCCATGGCCGCTGAGCCTGCGCGTCCGGAGCCTGTGCTCCGCAACGGGAGAGGCCACAGCAGTGAGAGGCCTGCGTACCGCAAAAAAAAAAAAAAAAAAAGTAATAGAGGAGAAAGATAAATTGGACTTCACCAACATTTTTAAAATTGTATATCAAAGACTAGTATCTAGAAAGGAAAAAGATAACCCACAGAATGGAAGTATCATAGCTCTGATAAGGGTCTAGTATCCAGAACATACAGAGAACACTCAAAACTCAACAACAACAACAAAAACCCCATTTTTAAAACTAGGCGAAGGATTTGAATAGACATCTCTCCAAAGAAGGTAGACAAATGGCCAACAGGCACCTGAGAAGATGCCCAACATCATCAGTCACTAGGAAAATGCAAATCAAAACCACAATGAGACAGCACCTCACTCCCACTAAAACTTCTATAATAGAAAAGACAGACAATAATAAGTGCTGACAAAGATATGGAGAAATTGGGACCTTCACATACCACTGGTGGGGATGTAAAATGGTCCAGCCACTGGGGAAAATAGTTTGGCAGTTCCTCAAAAAGTCAAATATGGAGTTACTATATGACCCAGCAATTCCATAATCAGGAATATATCCAAGAAAACTGAAAACATATGTTCACACAAAAACATATACACAAATGTCCATAACATTATTTTTCATGATAGCCCAAAGTGGAGACAATCCAAATGTCCCTCAACTGGAGAACTAATGGACAAAATGTGGCCTATCCACACATGGAACAGGAATGAAGCAGTGATCATGCTACCACATGTAGAAAGCCCGAAAACACCGTGCTGCGTGAAAGAAGCCAGTCATGGAAGACCATGTACTGTAGGATTCCATGCACACGAAATGTCCAGAATAGGTAAATCCAGAGAGACAGAAAGGAGATTAGTGGCTGCCGGGGACTTGGGCCGGGGGAGGATCGGGTGACTGTTAATGGGCACAGGGTTTCCTTTGGGGGTGATGGAAATGTTCTGGAATTAGTGCCGATGGTCGCACAACCTTGTGAATATACTAAACACCACTGAATGGTACGTTTTAAAAGGGTAAAATTGATGGCATGTGAATTACATCTCAGTTAAAAAAACTATAAGCGAGCTGAGTGAATATAATTCCATCTAAAGCAAAGAAATTTGACATGCTGATTATAATGCAGTCTCACTGGAAAAGCCCAAGATACGATGCTTGGTTTCTGGGGCTAATACTGACTCATTCTGGGACCACAATCAGTTTATTGAATCTCTCTGTTTACCGAGGTCTTCATCTTCAAAATGGGATAATATGGTTACTGGTCGTAAAGATCAGACGGATAACGTATGTAAGGTGATCAGTAAATGGGGTCCCGCGGTCAAGTCTGCACGAGTGTCGGCTGTCTCCATCCACTCCTGAGGGCAGAGAGCCAGCGCCCTACTGTGACTGCCTCAGAGTGACACCCACCCCCCATCCTGCCCCCTCACCTCAGGGGTCAGCGCGTTGTTGTCCGAGGTCTGGCTGGACAGCAGGATGTGCGTGAAGCCCTCTTCCTTCCGCACGACAATGTCCCGAAAGCGACAGTTGCTTTCGTTCTGGCGGACGCTGTACCTGAGCCTCTTGTCAAAGACGTAGTCCTTCTCCGCTTCCAGCTTCCTCTTCACCGAGCTGTGCAGGTTTAGTCCCCCGTTGGTCAGAGCAGAGCCTTCCAAAAACAGAGGAACAAAGTGAGAAACTGACTGGGGAACAGTCACACAGGAGTGTGATCAGAGAACGCTCAGATTTTCATGGAAAGGGTCCGATGTGGCTGGGACCCGTGTGCAGCTCTGTTCTGGGTGGTGAAGGGCCTGGGACTTAACGGCTACATCTCCAAACTTGGACGAGCACAGAGAGGGCTCTCTGTGAATGACCCCATGCAATCCTTGATTCCCTCTCCCACTCATCCATCCGAGAGCACCCAGCTTCTGCTTGGATGCTTTCAGCAATGGGGAACCCGACAATGGCCACGAAACAAAACAAACAAACAAAACCAAAAAACTGCAGCTTTACTCATAATAACCCAAAATCAGAAGCAACCAATATGCCCTTTACTAGGTGACTGGATACACAAACTCTGGTTCATTCACACAAAAGAATATTTGGCATACGAAGAAATTCATTATCAAGCCCCAAAAATACGTGAATGAATCTGAAATGCGTATTACTGAGAAGCCACTCTGAAAAGGCTACACGTTACATGATTCCAATTATGTGACATTCTAGAAAAGGCAAAAGTAGAGAAACAGTAAAAAGATCAGTGGTTGCCAGGGGTTCAGGTGCAATAAGAGGAGGGCGGAATTGGTGAAGCGTAGGGGATATTTTTAGGGCAGTGAAACTACTCTGTATGATGCTATGATGGTAAACATGAGACATAAAGCATTTGTCGAAACCTGAAGAACTACAGCATAGACAGTGAACCTTAAAGTATGCAAATTTTTTAAAAAAAATTAAGAGATGGGGGGAATCCAAGGATGGAATGCAGAATGTGATAAAAGAATCTAACTGTATGACAAATGTATGAAAGCACCTCCCTGAAGCGGGCGGGGGAAGGCGCTGACCTAAGTAACTTTAGGAATGAGTGGAGTTTGTAAAAGTAAAGGCAAAATAACCCGCACAGAAGCAGTGTACTCCAGCTGATAAAGCTGATCACATGGAGGTAAGTACGAGTTAACAATTCTGACATCACACATGAACGCTGGAGTTGAACAATTACATAAATGGATGGCAGATGGGGAGAAGAAGGTTTTTCAGTGTTGGAGTGGCAGTTTACAGGTAAGCAAGGAGAGGGGGCTAGAATGAGCAACGTGGTAATGGATGAGCACTGAAGACCTCAGTATGAACTCAATACAGATACAGATGGTTACATTCAGAAATATTTACAGATAAGCGTGTACAAACAGGTTAGTATATACATGTGTATTTCCTTGCTCTGTCAGCTGAGAGGGCCCAGAGTCTGACATTCCAATAGCAGTGAGCACACCTGGGGCCCAGAGCTTGGTTTCATTCTCAATAAAAGGAACCAGGGCTCTCTGGAGAGATGGCTGATTCCAGGACTGGGGCAAGAAACATGCAAGGTAAGCTTGCAGAGGCTGAAAGGACGGAAGTACTAAAAAAAAAAAAAAAAAACACACAATAAATAAATAATAATAACGACAACCTTCACAATGATGGGGGTATGTCAAAAGGACACAGGAGCCAAGTGAAAGAGCTCCCCAGGGCCAAAGACGGCAGAATTTGAGCAACGACATAAAGTCGTATGTATTGCATTATAATTGAAAGCACAAAATAAACATCCATGAGTCCATACTGATATAATTAAATGAGATTGAATAAATGAATAAATGGGAGACAAGAGCCAAATCTCCCATGGAGAAGAATTCCAAACAGTTTATGTAGATGCTCTGCTCTCAAGGGGGTAGAACATAACTTCTTTAAGGGCGGGCTGCAAAGAGTGACCTCCTTCCAAACGGTGTGGAAAGTTGGGGGGCTCAGGGGGGAGAGTAACAGTGGAGAAACCTGACTGTGGCAGATGGAGAAGTCAAAGCCCTGTTGGCCACGTGATCAAGACCAACACCAACAGGGATAAGTCATGGCGTGGTGTGCACCCCTGACACGACGTGAGGAGAAAGGCGCTGGACCTCTGGGGTCTTCCTCTCAGAAACCTACAACCCCAGTCTAATCATGCAAAAAAGGTCAGACAAATACCAATGGAGGAGAGTTCTACAAAATACCTGATCAGTACACTTCAAAACTGTGAAGGTCATTAAAAACCAGGAAAGCCTGAGAAACTGTCACAGTGCAGAGGATCCTAAGGAAACATGATGACTAAATGTGATGTGGGATCAGGATCTCGGAACAGACGTTAGGATAAGGTATGGACTTTAGTTGATAATGATGCATCAGTAGCAGTTCATCAGCTGTAACAAATGTACCACACTAGTGAAGAAGCTCCTAATAATAGGAGAGACTGAGTACGGGGTATACATGAACTCTATTAGCTTTCCAAATTTTCTGGAAATCCAAAGAAGTGAAGTTTATTTTAAAGAGTACATTTTAAAATTAAGTTAACTTTAAAAAACAAAACAAAACAAAAAAACCCCAAGAGAACCACTTCCCAGGCAATTCTGACATACAGGCAGGTTTGAGACCCTGGACCAGTGGTTCTTACACTTTTTTTTTTTTTAAAGATCATGAACATCTTTGAAACACACCTATCTACCTACCTACCTATCTATCTATCTATCTGTCTATCTTGGCTGTGCCGGGTCTTAGTTGCAGCATGTGGGATCTTTTAGTTGCAGCATGCAGACTTCTTAGTTGCAGCATGCGGACTTCTTAGTTTCATCATGCAAACTCTTAGTTGCAGCATGCATGTGGACCTAGTTCCCTGACCAGCGATCAACCCCAGGCCCCATGCATTGGAAGTGTGGAGTCTTACCACACTCCCACACTTACCACACTGGACCACCAGGGAAGTCCCCAGTTGTTCTTACCCTTGAACAGGCATCCGGATCACCAGGAGAACTGTTAAACCAGCCTGCTGGGTCCACCCCATGCTGCTGCCCCTGCTGCAGCGACCAGGCTTTGAGAACCAGGGTCTGGATAACATCAAGGTGGACTCAGATTCTTAGTTAGCATGGGGGGTCTTGGAATCTCAAGAACCAAGTCAAAGGCAGGGACCAGGAAATGCTTCCCTGGACCCTTTCCCTGCATACCCCGTCCCCACCCAGACAAGCGCCCAGCCCCAAAGGGGCACAGAAGCAGCAGTGCCTGTGTCACCTGACAACCTCCAAGAAGCCTCCTCAGTTTGTACTTTTCCATTACCCACAGCAACTGGGCTTTGTCAAACACCGTGATGTGGGTAAATGATTCAATGAACTCCGGAAAGTAAACGCAAGCATTTAATTAAAAGCCTTGTGTAAAGGGAGCTGTTTCTTCAGGGTCAACCTCAAAACCTCCAGCTCCTCAGAAGCTTCCTAATTAGAGCTGGCAGATCCGTGCTGGGGACCTGCTGGCAGAGGTCAGCGCATCATGGGAGCTGCTCTCAGCGGCCACCAGCTCTTGGCCATGAGAAGTCAGAAGCTCGGGGCTTGGGAAGATCAGTGCTACCCGGGGCTGGGAGAGGTCTGATTAAACTCCTGCCCCACAACCAAGTCAAGGTGCTGCTTTACAGTCATATTAAGGAGGAGGACCTGAGGGTTACCTTTTCTGAGCAGCTCTGTACGCTGCCTCTAAATTCCTCAACAGTCCTACAAAACTGCCATTCTTACTCCACTTTGCAGATAAGGAAAAGTGAGTAACTTGCTGGGAGCCGTGAAGGTTTTAAGTGGCAGAGCCAGGATTAGCGGCAGCTGCCTCTCCTTTTCTCCATTCATTCAAAATCTAATTAGGGGCTTCCCTGGTGGTGCAGTGGTTAAGAATCCGCCTGCCAATGCAGGGGACACGGGTTCGAGCCCTGGTCCAGGAAGATCCCACATGCCGCAGAGCAACAAAGCCCGTGCGCCACAGCTACTGAGTCTGCGCTCTAGAGCCCGTGAGCCACAACTACTGAGCCTGTAAGCCACAACTATTGAGCCCTCGAGCCACAACTACTGAGCCCGCGCACCTAGAGCCCGTGCTCCGCAACGGGAGAAGCCACTGCAATGAGAAGCCTGCGCACCGCAACGAAGAGTAGCCCCTGCTCACCGCAACTAGAGAGAGCCTGCACACAGCAACAAAGACCCAATGCAGCCAAAAATAAAAATAGATAAATTAAAAAAAAATCTAATTAGTTATCACCTCCTATGGGCCAGCTATAACACTAGATGTTGGAGATGAAACAAAAATCAGAGAAATAAGGTCCATGCCATCCCAGAGCTTGCTTCAGGCGTGGGAGATGGAAAGTAAACAAGCAGACTTAGTTAAAACAATGACAGATGGGAAAAGATAGGGTGACATGATAACAAATATTGGGTGGGGGCTCTCTGTGAAGGAGCCCATGGTCTTTCTGTTAAAGCATAAGGGGAAGCAGCCCTTAAGGAACCATCTGACCATATAATCCATAAAACTATGTGAGGAAAACATACCTGTTTATTCTCTATTAGGACACAGGGCTCACATCTCCAATGGTGACTTGGAAGATGCACCATCTCTGGGCCAGGGAAGAGAGGAAGCCTCCGTGAGGGCCCAGATTCACTCATGTACAGCTGCGTAAAGTTACCTTTCTGGACCTAACTCTGACCTCACACGGAGGTGCTCTCAAGCCCACTCCTCTTCTGGGGCACCATGCCTCTGGAGAGATGGGGGCAGGCTGGCAGGGAAGGCACCATGGGAAACAGAACATGCTGGAAGCATAGAAGTTTGGGGCTTTGCAGCCAGACAGCATGGCAATCCCAGCCCTGTGTTTGCTCATCAGGAGAAGCCAGGAAGCCACACGAGCCCTCGAGTGTCGTCTCCTTCGTCAGAAGATGGGGTTAGTGGTACCTGCTTTTCATGGTTGTTCGGAGCTAATTTAATTAAGGAACCATATGGGATTAGCAAGTGCCTGGTTCATTCTAGGCACTGCAGAAATGTTAGCTGAAGGATGCCAAGTCATTCCAAAAATGAGGAATTAGCTGGTGAGTCCTTGCAGCCCCGCCTCTCGCGCTCCCAGCCCCACACACTCCCTCCAAGCCCGGGGAACAGACC